GGAATGAATTTATTGATATCCAAATAAATCACATATGAAAAGGCCTTTAATAATCATGCACTTGCCTCAAAAGTGTGTAGTGTAACTAACAGTAGTAGAAGCTGTCTTGAAGCCTGTACTTTGTCCATGTTTCTAGACAACAGTATGTCATACTGTATGTCAGAAATCACATAAGCAAAACTTGAAATGACTAGTTTTCACTGCTAATGGCTGGTTAACTTATAAGCTATTACCTCTTAGCTACATTAGCCTCACAGCTCCAGTGTAAAACAAAGGAGCAAACTCCAGACACCAAACATGTTTTGGGTGATTGACTATATTTCGGTTACGTGGCAGAAAACTGTGTCAGTTTAATATTTTACAAAAGTATTGCTTTAAAATTAGTCCAAAATACACAATCCCTGTATGTGCAGAGCTCTGCCAAGTTAGATCAATCCATCAAAGAGTCTTGGTTAATTCATGCGCTTGAAGCTCCCCCTTTCAGTCATTCTCTCTCTCTCTCTCTCTCACTCACTCATTCATATCTCTTTCCCTGAGTGGCCCTGATGAGGCCGTCCACTTTCTCCTCTTTGCCGTCACCTCTCCTTAAACAAACATGCCCGCCGCCCTCACTCCTGGATCTCCTAGCACCCCGCCCACCAACCTGTCAATCACTCATCCACACAAGGTCCTGACCAGGGCAGAGAACAAACGCTACCTTTATGATCCCCCCCAGACACTCCGCCGCACCCTGCCTCCCCTCTTCCAGCCACCTCACCCCCTGCCAACCTGAATGAGGACGGACAGGAAGAGGGGGAGGGGTCCTCACAAAAGCAACAGATATAGAACGACCCCCACTTCTTTAGGCCTTGCGTATATCATGCAAAGTAAAGACTGTCCAGCTTTGGTCAGCGCACGTTTTGATTGCGGCAAGGTCAGGAGCGAGCCTTTCCTGGGAATTTGACTGCCCTTGTAAAAAAGCCGGCCACTTAGCGCACTGGGAAGTTTTTCGTGTTTTAATTGGCCGCGCATTGCCTCTATCTTTTCTATTTTCTGATCTATGGCCTGAAACCGGAGCCACAGGAAGTGGTCCTGCAGACCTTCTTGTCAGCACAGACAAATTATTCCGCCGACAAGCAGGAGACTGTTTTTCTTTTCTTCTCATTCCTGTTGTTTTTGTATCTTCTAATGTGCTCGGCCAGCCCCCTTTAAAAAGCTGTTACCTGAGTTATTGAGAGAGGATGAAAGGCAAAAGGGGGGAGAGACTAGAGATGCAGTCTGAGGCGGCGCAGGCCCGGTGCTCCGGAAACGCCTCCCAGGAGGATTGCGCTGTTCCTGCTAGGACGAGGGTTTTTTTTGCTGTGCTGGAAATTCCTCCAAAAAAAAAAAGTGCCTGGATGAAAACCAGGCCTATTTTTAAAGCAGCACTGAAAAGGATCCCGTTCTTATCGCGCCTGTGGCCACAGTATCGCCTTCCTCTGCGAAAAAAAGCGTCTTTGAAATGCGACTGGACGAGCCCGCAGGCCTAACGTTGGGGCAGGGAGCTCAGAAATATTCAAGAAACCGCCAGAGCAGGTCATTCTTCCAGTAACTTGGCATAGCTAGATAAGAGTTCCCAGCAAAGCTTGAATAATATGCTTATTTTCAAATATGAGGAGAAATAAAGCGGTGCCATCATTCTCCAGTGGAGGTAGCACCAGTGTCCTGAGGACGAGAGGAAGGCATTGAAAGGAGGACCAAAGGTCAAATGCCTATACTAACCTCTTAAACTGCTGACTTATTGTTCAGTTACTACTCTTAAAAGAATGGTTGGGCGAAAAATCAAACCTGCACAGTTTTCCACTTATGCGAGACACAGCTGACTAGCCAAGACATATATGGAGTCCAAATCTTGCATTAGAACTGAGGCTACGAGGCTAACACTGCTAACCACCACTAGAACTCAATAGTCACCCAAAAAGCACAAACTATTTCTCACCAATACTTCTTTCAACTCGCTCAAACTGCACCCAGGACGTCACTAAAGTCGCACAAACTTGTTAATGTGGTTTAGAGGACAGTATGACTTGCTGTGAGGTATAAAAATAGATTAAACTGCAGGAAGCCACTTTAGACAACAGGGTCTATATTCACAATCCACCTCAGGAAAAGAAGTGCTGATGCAGAATCAGTATTTGTCCATTATATGACCATCATAAATACAGAGGAATCTGATCCGAGATCAGTCCTGGTCCGTGAATACCGGCCTTGATATTGTCTGATGCGGCGGTGAAAGTCTGTTCATTTTTATAGCTCACAGTAAGTCATGCTTTGCTCTAAACCAAATCAGCAAGTTTGCACAACCTTAATAAAGACCTGGATGTGGTTTCAGCAGATTGAGAGAAGTTTTGGTGATTTTTTTTCCATAAACAATGTAGGTGACTATTGAGTTCTAGTGTTTGTTAGCAAAATTAGCCTCATAGCTCCAGTTATAAACTAAAGAATTTATATCTAAATCTGGGGGAAAGTTTTTCCTCACTACTATGAATTATTCTGCAACTAAAATATAAGTTACAGAGCTATGAAAGTGAGGAACTGACACGTATAGGCCCTTTGGCTTTAAGAGGTTTTTAACCGACCTCAGCATAAATCACTAAGATGCGACCCAATTGTCCACCCAGTACGGACACACAGCCTAAAGCTAGCTCCCCTGTGCCCTTCCACAACACCCTCCTACCCAGTAGGTGACCCCCCCCATCTCCTCCATTCGCCCTCTTCTCGCCCTGATTAGAGGCCAAACCAGCACTGGCCCTCGGCCCGGCCTGGACCCACTGCCTTTAACCTCTCCCCTGGGTAATTGTTTGCAAAAGCCTACACTGGGTGCCCTGGAGCGGTGGTTTGGGGACACAGACGGGCATTCTTACCACGCTGACCCTGAAGGTAAACAGGGCCACTAGCAGGCCTCATTAGCTCCGGCCACAGGGCGACGGGCTCTGTGACACGTGCTACCGACCTATGACCTCCATGATTAAATATCGCTCAGGCTCATCTGCTAACATTTAGGCAGTATCACCAGCACGGAGGCCCGGTGACACGCGCTTAATGAGGCTGGGTTACAGTACTGAAGAGCCGCGGTCAACACACTCAGAATCCTGACATAATCAGACTGAACCTGAACTATTTTATGACATATGGTTATTCATAAATATAATATAGCATATATAAATTGCAACTGATTATAAGTCACCTATATGTCAAAGAACTGCATTTTGCAGCTAAAATGACTCGTCATGTTAAATTAACACTTTCCTTCCCAGACAGCAAATGAATTTGTTGCTTCTGTTGGCTTGTTTACCCACATCAGCTGCATAGGATTATGCAATGCTCCCACGAGCATGAAAGTAATTCAGTATAAAAGCTAGCGAGAAACAGTACAGTAACTGAAGGACGGCCACATTATTCATTTAATAAACCGCTTATCTTCCTGGGTCGCGGGGGGTGCTAGAGCCTATCCTAGCGTTCATTGGGCAGAAGGCAAGAAATACCCTGCATAGGTCACCAGTTCATTATAGGGAAGACACAAAGATATATACCTTCACACCTAGGGGCAATTTAGTGTCTCCAGTTGTCTGCATGTCCTCCATGTCTGACTGCATGTCTTTGGACTGTGGGAGGAAATCCACACAGACACACGGAGAACATACAAAGACATAGAAACGACCCCTGGTCACCCAGCCTGGTTACCCGGCTGGGGAATCAAACCCAGGCCCTCTTGCCGTGCTGCCCACGGCCACATTAATTAAAAAAAAAAAAAAACTGGCTCCTTCAGTACAATTCCAACACTTCTGATACGGCAAGGTAGGCTAAAAGTAGAAATAGACTTCAACAATTTAATGCCCAGTTCTAAATACCATATACGTACTACTGCTTTCAGACACCTGTATGTCTTAAAGTGAACCTCACTTTACTACACACTAAACAACATTTCCAGGAAATCTAATCTCTCCATAAATGTATATGCAACCAACACTATAAGCCGAATATATGAAAGCAAGTGGTGAAGTTTTAAACAAACTGTGCATGTCTATTATCTAGTCAAGGTTAAGGTTCCCTTAAAATGTATAACTACCCTTTTAAAAATATAATATTTAACCTTATCCAAAAGATTTCTGTATTACAGCAATGTGATCTGTCTCAGTCACCTATCTCACAAATCTAAGTGGAGGAATTAATGGAAATATTTCAAACATAAAAATGACAAATTTGTACAGTGTAAGTTAATGAAGCTCAGACATGCATTTTTGTGATCTGTGAAAAATAAGTTCAGAAACCAAGACATCTGGCAAGTTAGATGTTAGTCAAACTATAGAATTTCTATGTAGCAGCAAACAAGAATAACAGAGTTTACTTCCACACCAGTTTGCTGCTAAATCTAGTGATGTGAAAGAACAGAGTAAATGCCTGATTCAGATATCTTCATGAAAGTGGATCAGATCTTAGTTCTGGATGGACAAAAATTTCTATAGTTTGGTCGAATAAAAGTCCACAAACTGCTGCTGGATTGGGGGATCCTTCTTATATGTTCACTGTTGGTAAAAAACCCCCCTTTGTACCAAAATTGGAAAGACTTTACTCCAGAAGATTCATGTAAGTGTCATTAAAGCATTTAAAATGTTCAAATTTTCCAAAGTTTGCATGTATGCAGTTTTAACACCACTTAATCCTACTAGTATTTACTATTTTTACAGTGTATCTGTGATCAATTACTGTCTTTTTTTGCAAATGTAACATGCAGTTACCATTTTTGTAACCTGATTATGTAACACTTTGTTTACAATGACCAAAAAAGGCAATTAAATTGTGTAGCACAGTTATGTATATATCAATTAACTGTTCACTAAACTTTAATGATCATGACAGACCTAACCCTGCATCCCTCAGCCTGGGCAAACAGCCCTCTAGAGTTATCCTTGTTAACTGGTCACTCGCAGGACCATCGTAGGAGCATTATTTCTGGTGGCGACCTCCGCACTGTGACCTACCCGTCTTCCTGAGGGGGAAGTCCTCCCGGCTGTCCAGGCCAGAGGGCAGAGGGGACTTGAATTTTGGGGGCGTCTCTCCTAAGGGTGGTGAATTCTGCTCCAAGGACATGTGCTGGCTGGTGCTGCAGGAACAGATTACAGTGTATTAAAATGCCATATTCCACATGTTTCTTCATTTTAGTTTCCTCCTAAAGTCCAGTTCTAACATTTGTGCTTTTTAGAAACCAAAAAAGTCATAATTCATTGTTACATAAACATTTTCCAACCTTCCTTTGACCCTTAGAATTAAATATGTTATTGCTGTTATTACAAGACTGATATATGTAAATAAGCTGTGATTGACTGTCTTGTATCTTGTCTCATTACAAAAGCAGTCCGGACTGAAATGTACGGAACGAACTGTGAAGTTCAGACTAAAATCCTTTGGGAAGCTGAACTAAACTTCACTGAAGTGAATTTCGGACACAAGGATCCTTTGAAAGGCCGCAGTGATCCATCTGACAGCCAGGAACAGCGCAACGTTAAATCATTTGTCCCACATCTTCCACTCCAATAACGATCCTACAGAGTGCAGGAGCAACACTCTGCATCACTTCAACAAGAAGGGTGGATAAACTGGTGTAGGCCAAACAGGCAACCATATATAAATGTGCTTATGCTTGTGACATCACAACCATGATGAGTTTTTATGGCTTTGTTTCCATATACATGCTGAATGGACTGAGGAGAGAAGAACTAAATGCCATGTTTAATTCATTTATTAAAAAAAAACATTACATAAGCTCTTTAATTAGACAAGCCCTCAGGCAAAAAACACCTCAAACACTGTGACATGGCTATATTAAGCTAAACGCAGTACACACATTTCATAATCCGTGCTATCTGGTACAGTGCAGATCACAATTTAGTTCTGCCCTACTTCCTTTATATTGTGTAAGGCCAAATAAATAATATAGCAGCCCAGCAGGGAAGCAGCATTTGATGATATAAGAGGCACCAAAGCTAGAGCTTAGCTAGCACTATGAAAAGTGTGCAGGTCTCAGTTGGAGCTATAATGAAGCATGTAGGAGAGTCACGTACATGTACCAAAGTTTGGAGTGCTGGTTGAGTGGGTGGCCGGAAGGAGGCCCATCTTTAGCCGATTTACTCAACAGGAAGTCATGCAGTTTCTGCCGCACCTCTGAACTGGCCATAGCACCTGTGAGAAAAAGCGTGCAATGATCTTTGTTGACCTGGACAGGATGCATGAAGTATCATTTGATCCATATTGAAACTTACTGACTCAGATTTCTTTACAGTGGCGGTGATGGGAGTCAGGGGCCGTGATGTTTACAACACAAATATAGCCATTTTATCCAGAACCACCAGTGAAGTTGATCAAGGCACAACAGAGGTAAGTCTTCTTTAGGTACAATTTTGTTTGCAACACTCTACATGTGCACCTCTGCAATGAATGTATTTGAAAAGGGGAATTCCACCTATACTTCAAATTTCCTGAATAATTCGATGGCTGAAATGGAAATAAAGACATTCCTAGTGGTTTGATGTGAAATGAAGAAACTTACTGACTCTAATTTCATACAGCCATTTTATTTACTATCCAAAACCACAAGTGAACCTACACGAGTCTTCTGAGCTTTATATGTAACGTGGATATAGATAAAATAGAAGTAAATCTTCTTTGGGTAGAATTTGTTTGCAACGCTTTACATGCACCCCTTTGCAATTAACAGATTTTAATAAGTTGTAAAGGGGAATTCCACCTACTTTTCAAATTCTCTGAAGAATTCAATGGCTGAGATGTAAACAAAGTCCTTCAACATGGTTGGTGTAAATGGTTTACTTGTAGAGAAACGTACCAACCCCGATTTCTTTACAGTGGTTGAGATAGGAACCAGGGGTCACAATGTCTACAATATAAATATAGCCATTTTATTAACCACCGGTGAACCTACACGTCTTCTGAGTTATAAATAACTATATAAGTTATATATAACATATATATGCAATGTTGATTATGGTAAAACAGTGGTAAATGTGAAAAAGGTTTCTGCATGTAGCACTCCACCATGAACAGATATGAAAAACTACATTTTAGGCCAAAATCTTATTTCAAAACAGAAGCAGAAGCAGACATCTGGTTCCTATCATCACCACTGTGAACAATTCTGACTCAGTAGGTTTCTCAAGAACAGAGCATTTCACACCAAACCATCTTGAATGACAGGAATGTTGGAAAATTGATTTTACCTTTCAGCCAAAATCTTCTTAAATCATAAGAATGTCTCAGGTATCAGGCAGTATATTTGAAACCATTTCAATAACTTTCTTTGAGGGAGTTTTTTTTTAGGCGTTTAACTCTTCAGACATCTGGTTCACCACCACTGTGAACAGTTCTAACTCTATAAGTTTCTCTAGAATGGAGCATTCCACCCCAAACCACTCCGAATGACTAAATTTCCATCTAAACCTTTTAATTATGCAGAAATGTAGTAATATCAGTGGAATTCCCTTTTAAAGTTTGAATTTTGTCTTCACATTTATCCATATTTAAAGATAATACTATATCTTACAGTATCAGAAACCACAGTAAGTCTATTTGTGCTTACTTAATATGTGATTAAGGTGTGCACAGTGCTAACTGGTGAAATATAAACTTTGTTTATTTATTAGCTTTCTTTACTTGTTAGGCCTGGTGCGAAACTAAAGAGCATCAGACACAAAACATGTCTTAGCTGATTGATTACAAAGATGAAAATTAGATTTTACACCACCCTTTAAAGACAAGCACATATAAAGGCCTTCATAGTACAGTCCAGAGGCATTGCTCTGTTTCAGTTCCCTTTCTGTCTGTTCAAGCTCTAATAGGGAAAGACAGACTGGTGTACAAACAGTGCCACCTTGTGGTACCAACAGCATTCTGCAGGACCAATCCTGCAGGCACATTCCAGTGCCAGTAGTAAATGAGCTATATGAGCAGTAAAGGTGCTGGAGATTAACAAATTGTGAAGTGCACTGATATGAGCTGATGTCTGTGCATCTTAGCCCGGACATGAGCACTTATTCTCCTGGCATGCTGTTCCGTTTAACTGCCAAGCACAGGTGGAGCCTTTCCAGCAAATGCTATGATGACAGAGTTCGGGTAAAACTGTAAACATAAGCGTAGTGATACACATTTTCAGATATTTAATCGTCATTTTAAATACTGCATTAGGGAAATGGAACTGACAGCATTACACTGATGGCTGTTAACATCATGCCTGGTGTTCTAAGTGTTGCAGAGAGTTTTGTTAGAAGGAATAAAACTGTAATTAAAGAACTAACAGATCCAGAGGCACCAGTAAATGATCTAGTGTTACACATTGTGAGCGGCGCTGAGTAGCTGATGTCTGTTTTCTTGAGGATGGAAGATGTGTATGTTAGAGAGCTGTGCATTCTGCCAGAGTCTGAAAGGGTAAGTGACTGACCCCAATGCTAACTGATCACAGCAGGGCTAAGGAAAGTGGTTTGATTCACACATACAAATCAGATGACTGTAATAAAATGAATAAATGATGATTAGAAAAGTGAAAGAGGTTATTGTTTATTATATGGACAATACTTTGGTCTATATAAAGAAATGGCAGGGTAATTAATATGGACCATTCTACTGAATTAGTACACAGTATGTTTACGTATATGTATTGAAAAAACTATTAATTATTTAGACCTTTACAGGCTATTTATAGTGTACTTTCTATTAGAAGGTGTCTGTCCCAAACCCTAACCCCTAAACTTACACTTGTGAAAATAATAATTATATTTTATATATTGTATTTGACTTTTTTTTTTAGTTTTTTTAGATTTCTTACAGTGAAGCTACAAAATTTAGATCTATCATGTGTTTAATTTTAAATTTTTTAAAAAATTGCTGTCCCACATTTTCATGTCACTACCAAAACACAGAGTTTCGGTCCATGGGTGGAGCCTTATTAAAGCCACACCTCTGCATTTTAGAACAGGAGGTGAGGCTGCATCCCTGTCCCTCATGGCCACATGGTGAGCAGTTAGCTTTGAAGTAAATGTCTCACAAAGTCTGAAAATAAGTGTGGAACATTTAAAAAATGCCACAACCGAAACACATTTTCTGCATTTATAACTTTTTTTTGTTTTAATGAAAAATATAATGATTGTATTTGTGTAGAACTATTCAAAGCAGTGTTTGCTAGTCATGTACTGGCTAGTGTTTTTGAGTTCTGCTCAAAATGAGCCAAAATTGTCATTACCGAAACCGTCACTACTAAAATATTTGGTAAAGTGTTATGCTTGTTGTATTAGTGACAAAATAGAATATTCATTTGTTTTATTAAAATAAACAATTAACCCCTTAAACACCCAGGTTTATCACAAACTAAGGGCTCATTATTCAGGGTATCAGGGAGGGTCACTGAGCGAGCTGAGAGGTTTTCTCTTTAGGGTTGACTCTAAGTACTGACAGTGTGCTTTGCCTGTTGTTGCTTGTCTTCAGTGTTTGATCTTATGCAGTGCTCTTACTCTCTTTGGAGCGCTCCTTCTTTCTCTGGTTGAGGTGCTGCTGCTCCTTCCTGTTGCGTTCCAGCTCCTCTCCCCGCACCTCCTCTGTCTCCTCCTCCTCCTCTTCATCCGGCCTGCGCTCCTCAGCCAGCGCCTCCTGCTGCTGCCGAAGGGTCAGCAGAGCCTGCTGGAGCTGAACGAGGTGGACATGAGTGAATGATTGAGCATATTAGGAAAGCAAATTCCTGATTTCAGAACAATTCTTCAGGACACAATTCAGTGAAAAATGAATTAAATTTGATTTGATTAATAAATCTAAGGATTATTTATAAAAATACACTGAAATAAAAAACAATAAAGCAAGTCATTTTGAGGTTTAACACAGGGTTGTCGCACAGTTTTTCTTAAAGATGATAAATGCACAGACCACATTTTATGTTTCATTGTTGTTAAATTCGGTAAACAAACAGTAACTGTGCATTAAAATGTGCTCTGTATAATGTACTTAAGGTGGCAGTGAATTTAAGGTGGCAATGGATTTAAGGTAGCAGTAGCACCTAGCAACACATTGCCATCCACCTTAGATACCGTAGCAACCTCCTAGCAACATCTAAGCAACACTTTAGCAACCATCAATCGTCTTCTGCCATATTTTTCCGTATGTGTATTTATTTTTTCTACTTTTTAAAATTATAAAATATATCATTTAACCAGGGGTTCCTAAACTTTTGCATATGACTGTTTTTTTTTTGTATTTATTCTAATCTTATTTTTTTGTACATTAAATTAGTTCATTTTAAACAGAATAAAATAAAAGCCCAGATAAATGTCTTTTCAAATGCCTAGGACTTCTAGCACAGTACTGATAAAGAGGAGATATAATCAGAAATGATTTCTTATTTGATCGCGCTTTTTTCAATAGTTTCTCTTAATATTCGGAGGTTTAGTGTGAGCAGGGCTGCTGGGCGCGGACCTTGATGTGCTCCTGTAGCTGAGCCTGGTGCTGCCGCAGCAGGGCCTGGTGCTGTTTCTGGAATTCGGAGATGAGCAGCTGCTTCTGGATCTGCTGCTGCCTCTGGATCAGTAACAGCTCCCTCTGCAGCTGCCTCTCCCACTCGTCCGAGTCCCGCTCCCACTCTGGCATGCTGACCTCAGACCTGCTCACCGGCGACAACACCTCAGAACCTGAGAGAGAGAGCCAGGGGAGGGCGGAGTGAGACACAGATATGAATTTTCAGAATACTTTATTATAGAAGGTCATTTAGTCATGTGAGCAGCAGCTGCACATTCCACACTCACAAATCAAGAAGGCCTTTTTTTTCTTTATTGGTTTGTAACTCATCTAAAAAAAAAACACAGTTGCTCTGAATAGCTCCCCCTTAGAGCTCCACAGCCTGCCAAGTCTCCCACTGAGTGGGAACGCTTATACTCCAGTGCTAGCCTTTCTCATCAGCCCTTTAAAAAGTGACAGAACATTGTGATCTGAACTTTCTCTCCAGTGTTTGCCTTAAATTGAAATATTAGAACATAAACTCAAACTCTAACAGTTTGCAATAATGACCTTCTATTAAGTGCAGTATTCATTATTTAACTATTAACCTATTTATGAAGAGACCACCCTTCATCCTTTCATCAATTTTTAGCCAAAACAGGCATTAAATTCTTCTTCTGAGAAATAAAAATTTTTTTAGAAGATATCTTTGAAAAGATTAGATATTAAATTATCCAAAAATCGAAAAAATTATCCAAAAAATGTTTAAAAGCTACACAGAAGATGGGACTCCTAACAACCACGCAAGACCTGGTAGACACAAACACAGCCCCCATTAAGTAAACAGTACTCAAAGCTTTCACCTCTGAGAGAGAGGAGAAAATCAAACTGCTTCAGATCTGAAAACATCCACATCCATCCTTCCACTGTGAGAAGGCAACTCAGCGCTATGAGTCTGAAAGGATGTGTAGCTGTCAAGAAGAACCTCACTGAGAAAAGGAGACAGACACAAAAAGAACGTTTGTACTAGAACACCGAAATTGATCTGAGATGTGGAGGTTTTATGGACTGATGAGTCTAAATATTAAACTGGGATTACTTGGACTGAGAGAGGCAGAAAGTGTAACCAACGTCTAAGACTGAGCTTTGGAGGTGTGGTAAAATATGCCTGCAGATTTCTATTAAAAAATGAAAGCAAGTCTCCTGAAAAGAATAGAAGCTGTAATAAAGGTAAAAATTGAACACACTAAATAAAAATGTATATTATACCTAGTTGTTGTGGCTTCTGTCTAAAGTACTGTTAATTATATTTAAAAAAAAAAAAAAACGTTTTTTCATGTCATCATTTGAACATAGTTGTCATTTTTCATTGAGTGAAAATTTATGATGAATCAACTTATGGAAAAAGACCAAAATTAAATGGAATAAAATTTTGTTACATTCACTTACATTACAAGTTAAGAACATATACGTGTTTTATTTTTTGGACAGTAAAAATATGTTTTCTGCTTTTTCTCTTCCTAATGCTAAAAAATGAGTAACATAATGTCCTTTATGACTGAAAATTGGTATAAAAGTATAAAGTATAAATTATACTATTATACTATTTTCTAATTATGCAATGTTTATATAGATGTTACTAATAATATACTATATATAAATATTTATCGATTATTTATAGATTATAATAAGTAGTATAATGTTCTAATTGTGCTGTATGTATATATATATATATATATATATATATATATATATATATATATATATAGTTACATTAACTTTCCATTGTTCCTTCTCCCATAAAGTCATCATTTTGGAGATATGAGATTTTGTTCCAACAGTGGTGGTCAGTTTAGTCGGAATGGTCGGTCTTGTTATTCTTTATGTTTAAATCTTCTGAGAGTGCTTACATGCTGTATATATGTTCTGCTGCCCTGGAACAATCAAATTTCCCTTTGAAGATCAATTAACCACGTCCAAATAGTCAAGCTGTCAGAAATCAGTTCACTGATACAAACCAAAATCTCAACAAATACAAAAAAAAACAAGCAAACACCTCAAAGCGCTAATCAGAGGAAAAACTCAACATCTGCACATCTGCAGTCACCTCTCTGAGTGGTTTGTAATACGCAAAAGTCAGTCTCTATGCAGTGTCCAAGCAATTCTGAAGCCTTTTTGTCTTTTTTACGTAGCCTTTATAGGGTCTATGGGCTCTGAGTCCAGACAGGTCAACCGCCTGGCTTGCCTGTGACTGGTCACATTACTCAGAGCCATCTCTGCCAGTTCTATCAGGTGCTTCTGCATTTGTGACCTGTGCTGTGGCCAGGACTCCTGGCAGCATGAAGCTCCATCCCAAGAGACGGCAAGCCCTAAGAACGGCCTACTCCAGGAAGCTTATTGAACGCCTACTTAGTGTTTTTCATTATCACCACCACTTCCACCAGTCCCATAGGAGAGGGGGCGTTCTCTGACACTCTACCCAAAACGGGCTGTCTCCACTCCCGAGTCCCTCTACTCTGCTCCCTGTAATAGACTTAAAAAGCTGATATCCGGCATTTTCTTATCATTCATGTTTTCCCTTAAGTCCACTTATAATGTTTGGATAGGTGTATTTACCAAAAACAGTGATAATTCACATTATTTGACCATTTTACAACCTCTTTTTAGTCCTTGGATTTAAACAGTCATGTCCACAAAAACTTGACTAAGTTATTGCTATTTTAGTTGTCTAGCACAGCATACTGGACTTCAATATGAGCTTAAAGTGTAGATTTTCAGTGTTACATCTAATTCGAGTGAACTGTGTAGGAATTACACCCCCCCCAATAATTATACACCGATCAGGCATAACATTATGAACTTGTTTCTACGCTCATTGGCCATTTTATCAGCTCCACTTACTGTATAGGTGCACTTTGTAGTTCTACAGTTACAGACTGTAGTCCATCTGTTTCTCTGCATACTTTGTTAGCCCCCTTTTACCCTGTTCTTCAGTGGTCAGGACCCCCAGGGACCCTCACAGAGCAGGTACTATTTGGGTGGTGGATCATTCTCAACACTACAGTAACACTGACGTGGTGTGCTATTGTGTGTTGTGCTGGTCTGAGTGGATCAGACACAGCAGAGCTGCAGGAGTTTTTAAACACCTCAGTGTCACTGCTGGACTGAGAATAGTCCACCAACCAAAAATATCCAGCCAACAGCGTCCTGTGACCACTGATGAAGGACTAGAGGATGACCAACACAAACTGTGCAGCAGCAGATGAGCTATCGTCTCTGACTTTACATCTACAAGGTGGACCAACAAGGTACGAGTGTCTATCAGAGTGGACAGTGAGTGGACACAGTGTTTAAAAATTCTGCTGTGTCTGATCTACTCAGACCAGCGCAACACTCACTAACACACCACCACCACGTCAGTGTTACTGCAGTGTTGAAAATGATCCACCACCCAAATATTACCTGCTCTGTGAGGGTCCATGGGGGTCCTGACCACTGAAGAACAGGGTAAAAGGGGGCTAACAAAGTATGCAGAGAAACAGATGGACTACAGTCTGTAACTGTAGAACTACAAAGTGCACCTATAGAGTAAGTGGAGCTGATAAAATGGACAATGAGCGCAGAAACAATATGGTTCATAATGTTATGCCTGATCGGTGTAAATAATAAATGAATTATAAATCATAAATTGTGACTAAACAACTATTTAGTATATTCCTTAAAAAAGAATGCACTAGTGAGCTCAGAAACACCAAAGGGCCCAGAAGAGCACTGAAAACAATCACTGTGGTGAATTCTCTCTCTGGTGAAGAAAAAAACCTTCACAGTAGTTGGTCAGATCAAGAAAACCCTGCAGGAGGTCTGCATATCTATGTCAACAGTCAAGAGACGACTTCAACAAAGTAAATACAGGGGGTTTACCGCAAGATGTAAACTATTGGTAAGCTTTAAAAAATAAGAAGACCAGATTAGAGCTTGCAAAAAGGTCTAAAAATGTCTGCACAGTTCTGGAAAAACTTATAAAACAAAGATCAGCTTGTACCAGACAGATGGGAAAACAAAAGTATGGAGAAGCAAAGGAACCACACATGAACCAAAGCACACCAGCTCATCTGTTTAGCATGGTGGAGGTAGTGTTACAGCACTTCCCTTGAATTTAGTGATGATGTAATTGCTGACAAAAGCAGCAGGATGAAGTGTATACGGCTGTGTTATCTGCTCAGATTCAGGCAAATGCTTCAAAACCCGTTGGGCGGCACTTCATAGTGCAAATGGACGATAACCCAAAACATACTGTGAGAACAAACCAAGACTTTTTAAGGCATAGAAGTAGAATACAATGGCCAAGTCAGTCACCTGACCTCAATCCAACTGAGCATGGATTTCACTTAGTGAAGGCAAAACTGAAGATAAATACACCAAGAACAAGCAGGAACTGACAGTAGGTGCAGTAAAGGCCTGAAATGCGTTTACAGGGAAGAAACCCAGAATCTAGTGATGTCTGTGTTTGGGCAACCATTGACTGCAAAGTATTTGCAACTACACTTTAAAAGAGACAATTTAATTTATGAATATGTTAGTCTCTCCAATTACTTTGTAATCCCTACACCATTCACCTGGTTTGAATGTAAGTACCATCAAACTAAAGCTAAAAGTCAGTAGTTTGCACACATTTAATTTAACCCCTTAAAATTTCAGGCTTATTATTCAGGCTTATTATTCAGCAACTACATGGACTTCAGTGCAAACTGACTGAGGTGTTAATATGTTATAGAAGCATGTAATAAAACTTTGGGCCTGCTAGTGGGCCCTGGCCATTTAAGGGGTTAAAATCCAATATGTTGTGGTACACTGTTGACATCCAAACAATTACAGACCTGACTGTATGTAATTCCCCTCTGTTCCGTTTGACTGCCCTGTATTGTGCCTGATTCAAAAGGCAGTCAGGACTGAAACATTCCTTTCAACTTTAACGTAAATGGGAGGTGCTAAAAAGGACATATGTAAATGACACAAATGACAAAAACAGGCTGTTTCTGCAGTTTACTTGAACTATATGAATTAGGGAGTGAATGGTACTTTAACCATGTTTACATACAAAAATGTTTTTATTTAAAAAATAAATAAATACATATGGTCTCCCATGATGTGGGCCCTTTAAAGAAATTTCTCCTGATTTTCTGAAAAAAAAAAA